TTAAAGATAACATTTAATTTTAGTATCTTTCTTAATATTAGGTTATCGTTTTGAAAGTGTTATGTTTTATACTAAGATTTTTTATTTGCCTTTCAACAGTGCTTTTAGCTATAATTGTTTTAAGGTTTAATTACATAGGATTTCATTTAATAATTTTTTATTTTACTATACTAGATGCCTCATGCTCAGTATTCATATTTCTCTGTTTTATTCTTTTCCCCTATTTCTTCATGCCTCTATACCTAAACAATTATACTAATATTTACATATGATTTTTTGAGACAGTGGACTTAGAATGTAAACTTTTAAATAACATTTTTTGTATTTAAATTTTAGGATTAATAGAAAATATCAGATACTATTTGTATAAAATTATTTATTTATTTATTTATTTTATTTTAGATAGAATAAAACCAAATGAGAGCAAACAAAATGAGGTTAGTCAAAACAAAAGGATGGACATAGTACATGACTTAAAACCAAAATACAAGGTGATCAACAATGTCTACCATAATGTATCTTGTCATCTTCAATAGAATTGCCCATATCATCAGGCATAATAAAATTGAACATAACAGCACAGAACAAAACTGATAAGATTGAAACATTGGAGATACTATAGGACTTCAAAGGAAGATAATGGTCAAACTAGAATGAGTTTCATAGTGAATCTTATTGTCTTCAAAATAGTTGCCTATACTCTCAGACTTGATACTATCAAACAAAACAGATTTGAATAAAATCAATCAAAACAAGACAGTGAAAGCAATACAAGGCTTCAGATTAAGTTAATAGGAAGTAAAAAATGGTTACCATAGTATATCCTACTATCTCTGGGATAGCTGTCCATGCCATCATACAAGTAGATAACTGGAACAGAATATAATCAAACTAAACAGAGCAATGAAAACAATATGGGCTTCAAATCATGATACAAGACTGACAATGTCCTCTGCCTTCCTTTCATAGACAATTCCTCCCCTTTCTCTTTCTCAGGGTGCATTGTACATTTTGTATCCCATTAACTCCTATAGTTTTTAAATTAGGGAACCTTGCTATTTACCTAACTGATTATGAACTCTTTTATCCCTGAGCATGATCTCAAGTTGTATCCATTTACCTACAAGAACCTCAAGGTTTTCCTTCCTTATAGCTGAGTAGTTCTCCATTGCATAAAACTGTTATGTCTTTCTAATCAATCTGTAGCTGATGGGCAAGTTACCTCAACTTTTTTCTAGTTCTCTGTCACATAAAGCATTATTTTCTCATCTTTGACTTTCAGTACATAAACTATCTTTCAGGTTAAATATATTTCTTATATAGAGCATCTTGATGGACCCTATCTCCTGATCCACTCTGCTTGTGTTTCTTTTGATTAGTGTATCAAGGCCATTTATATTAGTAATTATGGGCAATTTTCTCTCCCTCATCTCTGCCATGCTCTTTTTCTCTCATTGTTTGTCCACTTTTCTCCTTCATTCCACTGTGTGCCCCATTCTGTTCACCCCTCTGCCACTGTTCCTGAAACCATGGTCTATTTTCTCTTTCTCTCTCTATAATGTCCAGTATTTTTTGTAGGGTTGACTTGGTGGTCATAAACTCCCCCAGTTCTTCTTTGGGGAAGCATCTTGTTTCTGCATTAATTTTGAGAGCTAGTTTTGCAGTGTACATCAATCTGGGAGTTATTTTCTTTCTGGACTTGGAATATGTCACTCCAAGCTCCTCTTGATTTGATGGTTTGTGTTGAGAAGTCTGCCATGATTCTGATGAGTTTTCCTTTATAGGTGATCTGTTTCTTTTCTCAGACAGTTTTTAATATTCTGTTCTTGTGTTGACATTTTGGGATCTTGCTTATTATATATATATGGGTGTAGATCTACTTTGGTTATAGCTGGCTGGGGTTCTGTATGCCTCATATATCTGAGAATCATTTTTTTTCCCTATGCTTGGGAAGTTTTCTTTAGTTATTTCTGTAAATAGCCTTTGTATTTCATTTGTGTTTACCCCTGCATTTTCACTCACATTTTTTAATCTTAAGTTATAGATCCTCTTGTCATCTTCTAGCCTTTGTATTGTTACTTCCTGGTTCCTTGTTATTTTTAAGAGATCTTTCCTTTCACAATCACAAGTTGCAAACCTATCTTCAAGGTATGATAGTCTCTCTTTAGCTTCTTTCAAGCAGTTTTGCCTGCCTTCAAGGGAGTTTTTAATTTCCTGGTAATCTCTTGGGATCTGTTTCATGCAGAGTTTTTTTTTTTTTTTAATATTCTTCATCAAAGGTTTCCTTTCTTTTACTATGTTCCTCCATTCTTCCATCTGTGTCTTCTTCAGAGGTACTTAGCATTTCTTTTATTATTTTTCTTCTATCTTCCTTTACTTGTATTAGTATTTCTGGTTTAAGTTCTTCTATAGTTTCATGATTTTGTTTCTTTATGTCAGATGCTGTTGCTTCAGAAACTACAGGTGTGCAACTCCCGATCTCTTCTGTGTTCACCTCTCCTGGGCCAGTACTGCTTGGGTTGGAGGCTGGAGGCCTTTTGTTACTTCCTCTTGTCATGTTCTTGGTTTCTTCCAGACAAGTGGGTAGTGGGGTCTCCAGCAATTCCTGTATTGGCTATAATTACTCTGAAATATGCTGGCTAGGGAGTGCTGCTTTCCCCAATCTGCTGGTGACTACTGGAGTATAAGCGGGGCAGGGCAGGCTGGCCCCTCCCTTCGAGCTGGTTAACTACTGGGAGTTTTCACCACATTAGTATGTGCCACATGGGCAGGGTTGGTTAGGGATAGCGTTAGGGAAACCTTGGCTTTAGCTCTTTGATCATACACAGGGGTAGGACTCTCAGTCCAAGCAATTTCATCAATTTTCTCTGTTCTAGAAGTGGCTGAATGAAGCTGGTTGCAGTTCTGATGCCAGGCTTATCTTGCCAGACTCAGCCAATTGCCCACTCCTGCAGGAGAACTGAGTCCCGCCCCCCTCCTCACCACAGGCCAGTGCAGTTCTGCAGTCCGCTGCTCCCCTCCACCACCCAGTCTTCCCACTGAGGCCTTTGGGCTTGCCAATCCCAAGCTTCACTGTGACTGTGTGCCTCCGGATTCCAGCGCACTTCTTGCCCAGTTACACTGGCTCCAGTGAAAGCATGTCAGGCTGTTGCCTTCTCTTGAAGTTTTTCTTTTTCTTTCTTTCTTTCTTTAAATTCTCTCTGTGGGTTATGATTCTCACTTTAGTTTATTCCTGGGTCTAGGGGATCCATTTCTTTCCTTGTGGTCTCCTCCAGAATGCTATATTCCAGCATCTGGCTGTTTCTCTCAGAGGGGCTTTTTACTCTGCTGCTTACTGTTCCACCATCTTCCCAGAATCTGCAAAAATTAATTATTTAGAAAAAATGACTAAATTTTAGCACCCTTATGGAAGAAGTTGAATGTTACAGGTAAAAGCTAACCTACTTTTCAATATTTAAGCATATTGATATGTATCATAAGAAAAATATTCTGTGTTTCTTATGGAGCCATATATTAAATGCTTTAGCCTGTGGACCATCCTGGCTGTGTTGTGGCTATGCAGTTCTCTTACTGTATGGGCAAAACAGCAACAGACAATGTGAAGACAAATTAGCCCAGTAAAAAAATTTTATTTTACAAAAATAAGTACTCAGTCCAAGGGCCATGATATTTGGGTTCCAATATATAATTGACATATTTTCAACTTTAATCACAATATTGTCAACCTATTTCACAAATTTTGAGGTAAAACTAATTATATAATGTCCCAAATTAATGAATTTATTGATTTTATTTTTCTTACCACAAATAAGTACTATGATACTTATTCTTGATAAATAAAGGGAAATACTGCTGAGTAACATAAATAAATGTTTGCACATATACAAATCTTCGTGTCTCAACTTCTCAAAAGTGCTAAAATTGGAGAAGGGAAAAATAAGCTTTGTTTCTTTAAGTGTTTAGATGCTTTGCTCAAACTAACTTCCCTTTCTGTTGGACAATTACAACTTTGGTCAGAGAATCTCAGATTGTTGGAGCTGGACTAGATCTCTGAGAAGAAAAATATTTCATTCACACAAGAGCGGTATTTCCCACTGATTATAGGATTTATCTATGCTTACCCTGCTGATTGTTTTTAATTAGCCCTAAAATATACTCTCCTGGTTCCTACTGAATAGTTTTGTCTGCTTTGCTTTGCAGAGGCCTGGTCTGGATTAGAGGAGAACCAATTAGTGAGAAATTATAACTGATCATCTATAAATGCACTGATCTTAACTCCTCTGTTCCTAGCACACGTTAGCTACCCTGTTTCTTTCTCTACTTTTAAAAATAGACATACAAGTAAAGATACTTAGAAGTAATTGTAATTACAAATAAAAAATGACTGTTATGGGTACCCTGATTTAAAAAACAACCTTTTCATAAATGGCAAAGCACAAAGCTTTAACTGTCTTCTGAGTCATTTCTAATGGTTTAGATCAGTGACTCAGACTTTTACTTGCATCAGAATTCCACGGAAAGTTTGCCAGAACACATTGTCAGGCCCAACTTTAGAGTTTCTGATCCACTAGATCTGGGAGAAGGCCGAGAATGTGCACTTTGAGCACATTCCTTGGTGGCACAGATAGTGCTCATCTGGGTAAAACACCTTGAAAGCCACGAAGGTTTTCAGACCTAAACGCGAGTTAAAGTTACCACAGGAGGCACTTATACATGATAGCTCGAGTTCCACCCCAAGTCAAGTGGAATAGAATATCTGGCACTTGAGACTGGCTGTCAATGTTTCCTTGAAGAGCATCAGGTGATTTTAATACATAGCCAAGGCTGAGAAAAAATTAAAGAAAAACAATGACCTAAAATTTGTTTAATCTTACAAGTTCACATAGGACTTTCTTTCCTTAACCTAATACTTTACTAGATAATTTGAAGATAAGTTTTATGTATTTGTTTCGTGTAGCTTCTAACTCCTAAAACTTCAACTTTTATTTCTTTCCATACAGTGAAAGATGCAGAGGTACCTTGTATGGCCACACGGACTCTGTGAACAGCATTGAGTTCTTTCCTTTCTCCAACACGCTTCTCACAGGCTCTGCAGACAAGACCCTGTCTCTATGGGATGCTCGAACAGTAAGCAAATTATCTGCCTTTCCCCCTTCTGCTAAGTATAGTCGCTCTCAATCACTCTTTGGATATCGAATTTATTTTATGAAGTATGTGAGGGCATGTAGGGTAAAAGTCACTGGCTAACTACAAGATTCTAGCTGTGGGGCCGGGGATTTAGCTCAGCGGCATAAGCGCCTGCCTTGCAAGCAGGCAGTCGTGAGTTCGATCCCCGGTACCAATAAAAAAGAAAAAGACAAAAAAAAAAAAAAAAAAGTAAAGATTCTAGCTGTATACTCTTATCTATCCTTCCATCTAAATTGAACAATATATAAACACTAACGTTACCTCATCAAACATTTTTCAAGAAGTATTTATTGAAGTAGAAACTCTGCTGATGAAGGGAATACAAAAGAAAAACATTTCACCTCTTATTAAGGAGCTTATAATTTAGCAAGGAAAACAACCTGAGAAACGTGTTAGTGAAATGATGTCTGGGTTAAATGAAAGAGTAGAAAGGTGGAAAGCCAGCGGGAATCTCATCCATGGAAGCCTGGGAGCAACTCCCAGGGATCTGCAGCGTGGAGGGAAAACACATATGCAGGGAACCTGGAAGGAGGGCATCTAGGAATGGGTGGTGCATGTGCAGAGCCAGAAAGCAGAGACAGAGAGAGGGAGGGAGAGAGGGAGAGAGAGAGAGGGAGGGAGGGAGGGAGAGAGGGAGAAATGACAGGCAAGAGTGCATGTAGAAAAGATGAGAGGGTGAGGTGCTGGACCTAAGTTCCAAATGGTTTCGGAGGGAACCTCTTCATGAGTGTGAAGCAAACAGGGTGACATAATCAGATTTGCCTTTTGGATAAATTACTTTCCCAGTCCAGCAGGGAGTCAGTCTCACAAGAAAGCTAGTGTGGCACATTGTAAGTGCACAAGAATTTGAGTTAAAGACTGTATGTGAGGATAAAAAGAAAGAATGGATTAAAGATGATTTTAACATGAAGCTAGCGTGGGGATGGAGATCGTGGGTAGAGGAGGGAAGTAAGGGGGTTCTCCTGAGTCACAGAACTTTCAGAGCCAGACTGGCCCTGGATTGCTTTGACTTCAGGAGTAATTATGAGGAAAAACATTTGAAACAGAAGATGGTGGACACATTTCAAACACTTTTAGAGAGGATACTGTAGTTTTTGTGTCATATAGATGCCCTTCTTTGTTAGGAAGATGACAGCAGGTTCGTTAAGGATAGGGTGGGAAGGAGGGAGGAACTACCAGTGCAGGAAGGGGACAACACGCAAGTTTCTTGAACACAGATTTTTATGATTTGAAGAAAGTGAAGATATGTGAGACCAGGTTTCCACATTCCTCTTAACAACCTTTGGTGGGAATTATGAAATAAAGACTGAATGATTATATTAAAAAAAGAGGAAATTACCTATAGTTTCTAGTTCCTGAGGTTTAAAATTTCTGCCATTCATTTTTCCATTTACAAAACATGATTTAGATAAAGAAATCTATGAAGAGCATACAGATTGTATAAAAAGGGATGCAAATTCAGTGTGGGAGGCAAAGTAATTTTGAATAAGTCAGAAACAAGATCCTCACATACAGGAGAGATACGAAGGTAGAGTGATAGGTTCAGTCACCAGATTTGTTCCTGCAGATGCTTGTACTTCTCAGGAAGCAGAAGTCAAGGGGACGCTGCTGGAGGAGTGTACCAGACACGTGAGCAAACTCAGCAGCATGGTAGTTGGGGACAAAGGTGCATATACACTGACACAGCAGATCCTGCTTCTGCTGGTGGAGCTTCAATGGAAAATCAAGATTTTCTCATACATTTAGCCCTAAAAGCACAGATATGAAGTGAATATGAAAGCAAATTCTAGAGAAAATGCTCATTTCTCACTGACCTAAATTTAGGCCTCTTTGCTTTCGATTTCAGAGTCCCTTTCTCTCTGAATCTCTCTCTCTCTCTCTCTCTCTCTCTCTCTCTCTCTCTCTCTCTCTCTCTCCCCCCCCTCTCTCGCTCAGTGCTATAACTGGATGCTCTTCGATATTTCTAATTTACTCTCTTCTGTGTGAGAAACGGAAACCCTGATGGTTGGAAATAAGCTTCTCCATAATCAGAAAAAGCCACCTCTCATGTGTCTGCCTTAAATGCATAGCTGTTTATTAATGGTCCTCCTCCTTCATGTTACCAGCTTGTCTTCTGTTGTCTTTATTCCCCACAGTTTCAGGGAAAAAAAGAAAAAGGCATTTAGTATGGCACAATGGCTTTGGCATACTGGTGGCATTGCCTGTGGGTTGAATGCACGTGCCCAAAAGGGCATGTGAATCCCGGCAGTATAGCTTTAATCAATATAAATATGTTTAAATTGATTTAATAGCAGATCAAAATGTGTATTGAAAATTATACTTGCACCTTAACTTTAAAATTAGAGTAATTATTAATGTTGTTATAAGGTTATAATTCTCTATATATTGGATTTATATCATTTAATACTAGGAAGATGACTAAAATACTTTGATAAATGAAATATTACAAGTATATGATAAATGCATCATTAAGTAGGAAAAAAGTTCATTTAGTAAGTTTATTTTCAGAAAATATTTTCATACCAACTGGCCAAAAAATGAAATCCTTAGCAATGCATTGAACAAACTAGTATGTAAAGCAAAGAGAAATTAATTTAAATTACTAAAACCTAGACAATATAAGTTGTTGACTAAAATATTGATATAAAGTTCTATAAACATGAAAAATCTAGAATTGGACAGAATTATTCCAGCAAATTTGCATTGGGAATACTAGTGAATTTGCATCAGATATGGTTCACTTATTTAAAAACAAAACAATAATAGAACTTGAATCACTCAGATTTTTAGAAGTTCACATTATAATTTTTAAAGATAACTGTTAGTGTTTTTATATGATATGGAATTATTAGTTGATTTTAATATCAGTGATTTACAAAAGATTTAAATTAAATTTGCATAGAAATAAATGTAACTGTAAGAATCACATAATGTATTCTTATGAATGACATTATTTGCAACATCGGCTGCATCCATGATATGCTTCTTATTATAATTTTTAGAATATGTTATCTCCTTGATGAAATGATAAAGTATCATATTACCCCAATGGCTATGACTCCTTCTGTTGTTAGGAAAGCAATACTAGTAGAGTTTGTTGCCTTAGTAATTGTTCAGTTACTATTGAGATACCCTCTAATATATTTTTGATGAAATGCGAAAATGATCAGTTGATAACATTCCTATAAATTAGTGTTAAACTTCCTCCTTATATTCTCAAACACTAGTCTTAAAATTCAGTTAACCTAACAGTTTTGTTGTTGAAAAAAATGAAAGCGGACTCCTCCAAGTCAGTCGGTGAGTCAACTGGCCAGATGAGCTCTGAATTTTATTGTGAATGAGGAGAGAATTATAAATCTCTATAGTTACCAAATAGAGGCCATCAAATAGCTCACAATTTGAAATCTCATGAAATTGCTCTGTTTTATAGGGCTGCATGTATTTTTCCTCAAAGATATGAAAGAGTAGAACTATTTTATTAAGATCAAAACTAAGATTATTTTATTGTCATAAAATGATAGTAAATGTAGTGAATAGTCATAATGGTCTTTCAAAAATCATGAATATTCCCAGTGTCCATACAAGTTTGATTTGCAGCCTAAAGTAAATGCAATGACATTGTTAGTCATCTATAAGTTCAATGAAAACATAAGGCTTTTGAGATTTTTCTTAAAGAAAAGAATATGTTCTCACAGTAAAACATAGAATGAAAACGAGCTGTCTAATACACCAGTGAGTTGTTTCAGGTGTGGCAGTGATCAGAGTTGCTAGCATTTCATGCTGTGAGGTTAGTGGGTCATAGATGGTTCATGAGCTGGAATGTCTTTAGAGACCATGGCTTGCTCCCTACACTAACCCACTGCAGCGACTTGACTAGCATTCAGCTCTCTCCTGACTTAGCTTTAACCAAAATATCCAGTAACCAGTCCATGTGAGCTCCTGTAAAGTAAAAATATAGAGCACACACAGAGCAAACCTATTGGCTCCCATGTGGTACCTGACTCCTAACTATTTCATAATTCAACCTCACCCTGCTGAGGCCAATTGATATTCTTAGATGAGATGGAGGTGAACTCTCAGAGAAGCCTGACTATTCAGAACCCAGAATGTGGAAATAAAAGCAAAGCTTGTACCTTTTCTCCAGATCTAATTTCTCATTTATATTCAATTTAGTAATACTTCTTGGAGATCTTTGTGCCAAGCAACATTCTAACTTGTAGGGAGGCCACTGTGACAGAATCCTTGTCCTCAAAGGACACACAGATCGATGGAGCAGGTATACAGATTATTTTCATGGGGTAATTGTTTGTGCTGTATATAGCAGACTACAGATTTAGGTATTTTGTATCAAAGCTCTCTATAACAAGATTTTATTGTTAATATTTATTAATATATACTATGTTGCATCACTTTTCCTACAACATCTGTGTAATGCTTACTAGAATCTGCTTACGAGGGGATTGTTGTTTTATTGTTTTGGATTTAAGAATACACAGGCTCAGACAGGCAAAGCGTCTAAGATGAGCCCACTGGGCAGTGGCAGGGTCAGGAGCCAGGCTGCCTCTGCAACCTCAGGTTGCCTTCTTCAAGCTCCCGGCCCATTTTCAGGTTTTGGCCACAGTGGTCCAGACACTTTTTGTTAAAGTGTTTTAATCAGCCTGAGCAGCATAGTGACTCAGCAAGACTCTGCCTCAGAACAAAACGTGAAAAGAGCTGAGGAGATCACTTATTATGAAGGCTTAGCCTCCAGAGCAGTCCCAGGGCTGCTTTACAGGGAGGGGAGGATTAAAGCAGGATAAAATCAGCAGTATTACAAATTCTGCATTGTCATGTTATGGTCTCTTGGTTGGTCTGGTTAAAATGCAACAGCACTGTAATTTTTGTAAAATACAGTGCAGAGAGAAAAGATGGTTTACATTTTCAAAGATAGGATTTAATTA